GGGGGGGGGGGGGTGGATGGGCATTAATGACAAAAGGGAAATAAGTTTTGGCTTGATAATTCAGCATTTTTGCAGATAAATTTGGAAGATGGCAAACAATCGGCAGAAAACCAAAATTTGAGCTATATTGGCCAGGTAAAAGGAGGAAAATAACGTCATTTAATAAAATCATTCGAAAAAATGTTGTTGACCTGTTAAGCTGACTGCTTATTTGTTCAGTATTGTGCTAATGACCACCAGGGAGAAATTAATAGCAACAAACCTTGCAATAGGCAATGCTGTCACAACCACAGGTTAGTTGACCATTTGCTTTGTCCACAGCTTCTGGAGCTCCTCCACCATCACTCCTCTGCCACAGCAAACCCGGGAAGTGAGGAAAAACAATGTTATTTTGATATGTGCCTCAAACTTACATCCTAAACGCAAATAGGATATGATTCAGTTGAAAGGATCTATGAAGTATGCATCAATCCATACCTGGTAAAAGTCGACAGCGATGAAATTTGGCCACCGTTTTCCAGCAGCTGCATAACAAGTGCTTGTCATACTAAGTAATGAAGCAGAATTATCAACGCAAACCTCTGTTATATTGGGATTATCAGGAAAGTAGTTCTCAAGAAACAGGGAAATTGTTGATGTGTTCAAGGGAGGTGATTCGGAACGATTTGGACAGGAACCATTCTTCATCCCACCATCTCCATCTGCAATCAGCTCAAGATCAAAATTGAATCTTCATATCTAACTCAATTGTAAGGAAAATAATTAGTTTTGACTAATCCCCTGCACACGTATTGTTGATAATAATGGAGAAAACATTAATGAGTCCAGATATGGTGATCTAAAATGTAAAATACTATTTCCAATTTTTTGCACGCATGGTACTTCTGCCCTTTGTCACTTCATCGCGCAGATTGAAGTAGCTGCCATTGGACGTCTTCTGATAAAGATGTTCAAGATGCTGTCTTATGTTGAGAACATGTCAACATACTACTTAAATTGGAGTGAAAAATGAAACTTACACTGGTTTTCTACTACATATCGCCACTCATAAGCAATCCCCTCTGAAGCTTCTTTAGATGATATAGAGGTGAAGACTACCAAGCGTTGATTCTGCTGCACCATATCATCCACTGTAGGCCAATCTTCCCCACTTTTGGGCATCCTTGACACTGGAAACCAGTATTTACTGAGGCCAGAAGCATTAAAGACTTTTGTCAAGCCCTGTGGCGACGTCACATAATCCTCGATAAAAATGGTAACAATTTCGGTGGGGTTGGCTTCCAAAAATACTTGAATTTCTTTCAGAACAGTAATAGCAGGTTGCTGGAAAAAAATATGCCCATAATCAACTACAAGAAAAACCACAATTGAAAACTACGTAGTCAATCACTGCTGAAACACTTACAAATGCTGTGACATTGTAACATTTGCCACCAAAGGAGTGACACAACCAGATGTCATTGTTGAAGTCATACATATCAAGCATGAGTCCTCGAACACCACTCTACGAATCAAACAAATCTTTCAGCATGCCATTTTTATTGAGTCTAATCATGCTTTGCCTGAATATAAAATATTTGAAGGTTTAAAAATGCCACTTAAAGAANTTCAGCATGCCATTTTTATTGAGTCTAATCATGCTTTGCCTGAATATAAAATATTTGAAGGTTTAAAAATGCCACTTAAAGAACTTGTAAATAAGCTTTTCACAATTTTCCCCAGTGAATGTAAGTCTGTAAGATTGACATGGATGAAAAATACTCAAAAATGGACAAAACCATCGACAGAGGAGCATCAGGCCTTCCAGCTCTAACTACAGTTGGTTCCAAACAACAGCTGTGGTTTATATTAATGTAACAGCGTCTGATCAATGCAATTTTTTACTTGAAAAAAATTTAATACAAGTGCAAGGATTGGCTTGAAATGATTTCAATATAGTCTCAAAACATACATTGACAAGCAAAAAATGTTGAATGATACAGGTGGGTAAAACAGAAAGGTTGCTTATTTTCTAACCAAAGCAAACATGATGGGCAATAATTTCTAAGCATCCCATCACTTGTTCCTTCAAGTTCAAAAAAGCAAAATACCACATTAATAATACCCTACTCTGTTCATATGGGTTCCAGATGATCAGCATCACGGATTCTTTAGCTCACTAACCCAAAAAACAATAGGATCACTACAAAATACTCGTGTCCGATTCCTTCTGTCAATTGAGCAAACAGAACTTGTGCAACTTACATGACAAATCAAACAAGTAGTTGCAGAAGTGATTCTTCCGGCAAAGACAACAATTTTCAAGCGAAACAGAGTTTTGAAATCTTACTTGGAGTTGGTTGGTAATGGAATCTTCCTGATTGGTGGGAGCAAGAATAACAGAGCCCGTGGCCGACGTTGACCCAGACATAGCATACGAATTGTGCGTCGTCAGCCATGAGTACCGATTAAAAGGCAGACCTTTTACCTAATCAATTCACAAAGATATACCAATCAAAAAATAGATAACATATGCATTATATATCTATCTTTCTATCTGGATGTGTGTAGATATTGGCGTCACCATTGATGAGGCACTGAGGGGTTGAATGCGAATACATCTGGGGCGGGTGTTGCCATTGGCAGGGCATGTTCCACAGGTTAAGCCGGCGTTACAGTTATTGGGGGAAGAGGAACAGGTTTCCCCGATCTGTTACCAAACCAAACATCTCAAATTTAAGCAATAAGTTATGAAAGAGAATGAAAATACAAACTTGAAGAGATCATTAATCGAATTTATGATAAATGAGGGGGTAATATATAAATGATCCAAATCAGTTANCAAACTTACATCCTAAACGCAAATAGGATATGATTCAGTTGAAAGGATCTATGAAGTATGCATCAATCCATACCTGGTAAAAGTCGACAGCGATGAAATTTGGCCACCGTTTTCCAGCAGCTGCATAACAAGTGCTTGTCATACTAAGTAATGAAGCAGAATTATCAACGCAAACCTCTGTTATATTGGGATTATCAGGAAAGTAGTTCTCAAGAAACAGGGAAATTGTTGATGTGTTCAAGGGAGGTGATTCGGAACGATTTGGACAGGAACCATTCTTCATCCCACCATCTCCATCTGCAATCAGCTCAAGATCAAAATTGAATCTTCATATCTAACTCAATTGTAAGGAAAATAATTAGTTTTGACTAATCCCCTGCACACGTATTGTTGATAATAATGGAGAAAACATTAATGAGTCCAGATATGGTGATCTAAAATGTAAAATACTATTTCCAATTTTTTGCACGCATGGTACTTCTGCCCTTTGTCACTTCATCGCGCAGATTGAAGTAGCTGCCATTGGACGTCTTCTGATAAAGATGTTCAAGATGCTGTCTTATGTTGAGAACATGTCAACATACTACTTAAATTGGAGTGAAAAATGAAACTTACACTGGTTTTCTACTACATATCGCCACTCATAAGCAATCCCCTCTGAAGCTTCTTTAGATGATATAGAGGTGAAGACTACCAAGCGTTGATTCTGCTGCACCATATCATCCACTGTAGGCCAATCTTCCCCACTTTTGGGCATCCTTGACACTGGAAACCAGTATTTACTGAGGCCAGAAGCATTAAAGACTTTTGTCAAGCCCTGTGGCGACGTCACATAATCCTCGATAAAAATGGTAACAATTTCGGTGGGGTTGGCTTCCAAAAATACTTGAATTTCTTTCAGAACAGTAATAGCAGGTTGCTGGAAAAAAATATGCCCATAATCAACTACAAGAAAAACCACAATTGAAAACTACGTAGTCAATCACTGCTGAAACACTTACAAATGCTGTGACATTGTAACATTTGCCACCAAAGGAGTGACACAACCAGATGTCATTGTTGAAGTCATACATATCAAGCATGAGTCCTCGAACACCACTCTACGAATCAAACAAATCTTTCAGCATGCCATTTTTATTGAGTCTAATCATGCTTTGCCTGAATATAAAATATTTGAAGGTTTAAAAATGCCACTTAAAGAATTTGTAAATAAGCCTTTCACAATTTTCCCCAGTGAATGTAAGTCTGTAAGATTGACATGGATGAAAAATACTCAAAAATGGACAAAACCATCGACAGAGAAGCATCAGGCCTTCCAGCTCTAACTACAGTGGGTTCCAAACAACAGCTGTGGTTTATATTAATGTAACAGCGTCTGATCAATGCAATTTTTTACTTGAAAAAAATTTAATACAAGTGCAAGGATTGGCTTGAAATGATTTCAATATAGTCTCAAAACATACATTGACAAGCAAAAAATGTTGAATGATACAGGTGGGTAAAACAGAAAGGTTGCTTATTTTCTAACCAAAGCAAACATGATGGGCAATAATTTCTAAGCATCCCATCACTTGTTCCTTCAAGTTCAAAAAAGCAAAATACCACATTAATAATACCCTACTCTGTTCATATGGGTTCCAGATGATCAGCATCACGGATTCTTTAGCTCACTAACCCAAAAAACAATAGGATCACTACAAAATACTCGTGTCCGATTCCTTCTGTCAATTGAGCAAACAGAACTTGTGCAACTTACATGACAAATCAAACAAGTAGTTGCAGAAGTGATTCTTCCGGCAAAGACAACAATTTTCAAGCGAAACAGAGTTTTGAAATCTTACTTGGAGTTGGTTGGTAATGGAATCTTCCTGATTGGTGGGAGCAAGAATAACAGAGCCCGTGGCCGACGTTGACCCAGACATAGCATACGAATTGTGCGTCGTCAGCCATGAGTACCGATTAAAAGGCAGACCTTTTACCTAATCAATTCACAAAGATATACCAATCAAAAAATAGATAACATATGCATTATATATCTATCTTTCTATCTGGATGTGTGTAGATATTGGCGTCACCATTGATGAGGCACTGAGGGGTTGAATGCGAATACATCTGGGGCGGGTGTTGCCATTGGCAGGGCATGTTCCACAGGTTAAGCCGGCGTTACAGTTATTGGGGGAAGAGGAACAGGTTTCCCCGATCTGTTACCAAACCAAACATCTCAAATTTAAGCAATAAGTTATGAAAGAGAATGAAAATACAAACTTGAAGAGATCATTAATCGAATTTATGATAAATGAGGGGGTAATATATAAATGATCCAAATCAGTTACATAATTGCAAAAAAAAAAAAAAGGGAAATTAAAACCTGTAGGCCAGACGAGAAGCCAAGGAGACAAACTGTGAGAAAGATAAGTTTGATGGGAAGAAAAGAATTGGTACCCTGCAAAGCAAATGATGAAGAGAAGAACATGACAGCGTCAGAGTTTTATAGTAATTGCAAAATACGTGAAAAGAAAACCTTAGTTATGGGTGTTACATGCCTGCATTTCGGGCTTTTCCCTGTACTTTTAGGTTTTTTTTTTTTTTTGGGGGGGGGGGAAAGAGATAGAGAGAGAGAGGACGTCTGTCTGTTTCTAATGCTGTTGTGGTATTTAAGTTAGGGTTGGTTTAAGGTGGTTGTCTTTGACTGGGGTTTTTCCGGGGAAATATGGATATGGACATCGAAAGTCAAGAGTTCAGACCGTTTCTTCTCAGAGGGAAACGAGTGGGAGAGACTTTCTATATCTCGTCACATATATAAATGGAGCAGTTATTCTTAGGCTTTTACTATTTTTTTAGTCTAATTGTATGTAATATTACATTTAATAAATTAAATTATCAACTACTAGAAATACAACAACAATTAAGATTAATTTTATTTTTATCTATTTTGATTTAAAAATTTAATAATACAAAATTTATTCCAATTTTTTTCTCAAAAGCATTATTTTCTCTGCACGATGCTCAATGTTAAACAACTCAATTAATTTATTCTTGGATAAATTATATTCACACCCTTTGATATTTAGTTTTATTACATAGATATCCCTCATATTTAAAAATTTATACTGAGACCCAAATAGTTAGACAGACTTAACTATCTTAATAGAAAGATTATTTTGTCACTCTCTTTAACACAAACTCAAACCTAAACCCCAACCCCAAGCCTTATCCTTAATCTCAACCCTAATTTTCGTTGTCCTCTGCACCCAGCGTTCCCAACGCCTTCTCTCTAACTCTCTTTCTATCTCTTTCAGGACGAAGAACCAGCCTCAAATCATTAGTCTTCTCTTTCTCCTTCACTCTTTCTCTTATCTGTATATATAACTTAAAAATTTTAAGAAATCAAAAGGACAACGATGGTTTTTGGGGTTTTGATTTTGATAGCAGTAGTTGTTAGGTTGTGTGTGTGGTGTGGTTGAGGAGGTGGTTGTGGAGATGAAAATGGAGATGGATGGGGTTACTTTGTTACTGGGCAATGGTGGTGCTTTATGCATGCGTGTGAAGAGAGAAAGAGAAAGATAGGAGGAGGAGGACGAAGGGTTTCCATGAGGTGTGGAGGCGACGATTGGTGGTGGTTTATGTGGTGTGGGAACGGTGGACCACAAGTGATGGTGTTAATGGTGGATATGGGGGCAATTTTAGATTGATAAAGGGAATTTACATTAATATGTTGTATAATAAACACAAAATTTTAGTATTTAACATATTAATTTGATAAATTGTGAAATTAAACATTTAATTAGAAAAATTTTAGTTTATATATGAAATATGAAATATAAAATATAAAATAGAGAAATGATAAATGGTAAATGAGAGATGAGATAAATTTTGGGGGCAAGAAGAATAAATATTTGAATTTTTAAACTTAATTTTGAAGGATATTTTTGGTATTTCACAAATTATTATCGATGACATTAGTTTTGACCGTGAACCATTCTAACATCTATTAGTTGGAGTGCGTGTAGTTGTTATAATGTTTAAATGTCTAGGGAGTTTTGTATAATTTTTGACATGTGAGGGGTTTCCGTGTAATAAAATCAAATGTCAAGGGTGTGTGAATATAATTTATCCTACATTCTTTAATGGGAAACAATCTCACTAATCAACGCCTATCTCTTTTTCTGGCTCTTTTCTCTCTGTTCATTTTAATTTTAAATTGAGTGATTAAAAAAAATAAAAATAAATTACAATATACGATAAATGTTTAATTTTTTGTATTAAAGAATATTTTCAGGTACAAAATTATTACTAATACATATATAGGTCACATATATGTGATATTTTCTTTTGAGTAATGTTATTTGGGCATAAAAGTGTAATCTAGTATTTTAAAGTCTAATGTCATTGTTGTTGCTGTAATTGTTGGTTTTTTTTATTAAACTTCTATCACTTGATCTCATTAGGTCAAAGTAATTAAGTCAAATTTTTAGGTATTTTTATTTTTTTCCTCAATAGAGAGAGATGTCAAAGAAAAGCTTCTAAATTTTGAATTGTCCAAGCCTCCTGCTGTGTTTCTAGATAGGTTTAAATGAGTGGAAAAATTCAAANAGATGTCAAAGAAAAGCTTGTAAATTTTGAATTGTCCAAGCCTCCTGCTGTGTTTCTAGATAGGTTTAAATGAGTGNATGTCAAAGAAAAGCTTCTAAATTTTGAATTGTCCAAGCCTCCTGCTGTGTTTCTAGATAGGTTTAAATGAGTGGAAAAATTCAAAGAGAAGAAAAAAGAAACAGAAAAAACTCAAGTTTGACAGTCCAAACCCAGCCCACCAATCTCATCTATTTTTTGCCCACGATAGTTTGCTCTTTGATCTTTTCAAGGCTTCTAGTTCTGGGGCAATTGCTATTATATGAGGTGGCTTTGGGATATCAAGTCAGCTTTGAAAGATTGGCGATGGTGTGCAGTAAGAATGTTCCACGGATTAGGGTTGAGGTTACGCAAGCTATTCCAGATTTTGGAGGGGACAAAAGGTGGGGGAGAGGAAGATATATTGGGTTAAATGTGATGGGTTAAGTCCAAATAGTCCAGTTTATATGTTAAAGTCCAACCCCAGTTGAGGAGCCCAACCTCATTTTTATTCCACCAAGCCCAAGACAGTCCAAGACCGGTTAGACTTTTTGCTTAACACGTCACCAAGAGGAGAGCATGGGAAACTTATCTGCACCACCGAAAGAAACGGTCCAATCTTTGACCACGTTTCATGAAGAGCTCCCCAACCTCCTCCTTCCGTTGAGGATAAGTCGTGATCTCCACCAGAATAATCTCTTAGCTGCGATAAAGAAGCCTTGAGGATAAGTCNCTGCACCACAGAAAGAAACGGTCCAATCTTTGACCACGTTTCATGAAGAGCTCTCCAACCTCCTCCTTCCGTTGAGGATAAGTCGTGATCTCCACCAGAATAATCTCTTAGCTGTGATAAAGAAGCCTTGAGGATAAGTCGTGATCTTCACCAAGAATAATCTCTTAGCTGCGATAAAGAAGCCTTGAGGATAAGTCATGATCTCCACAAGAATGATCTCTTAGCT